TACTCTTTTCTGTTTACTGATTAAAATTTACCTTATAGATCTATACTATATGCAGAAGTATGGACTATTACTAGTCTACAGGTTTACATTATGTAAATGCTAGTTGTTGTAGGCAAGACAGTTCATTGCAGTAAATATAACTAACAAATTAAATCTTACAACCTGAACTAGGCTTTGGTATACAAATGAAGTATACTAAACCTTATAAACGAGCCTGCAACTGATACCTTTATTCTTGTTATTTTTTTACTACTAGAAATGAACATGTAATTACAATATTTCTTAGGTAAACCATATGCAAACCTTCTTATAAATGTGTAAATATCATTTTTTGAGTACATTTCGATAAGTAATTATCAAGACAATATTTATGTAACTCCACCTAACAAATCTGCAATTTTCTAAAAATCCTAAAAAAAAATGACCGTGTGCCCTGACGGTACTTATAAGTCCACTTGTAAACATCGATCTAATACAAAGCCAATTTGATTAAAATTGTATAACTAGAAGTTAAACGCGTTTGCCTGACTATTGAAGGTGCCAATAAAAAATATTTGGGGTTGAAAACTTGAAAAATAAGGTAAAACAAAAGGAAATCAGGAACGGGTGTGAGAAATGTACAGAAAAATTGTGAACTACCGATATAGCAAGACATTGAAAAAGCGCCACACCATTAATTTTTTTAAAAACATTGATACCTCCGACTACCGGCGACTCGGGGGAGATAATACTATAAAATACATCAATAATTTTTAAAATTCGTATTTAATTTAATATAATACAGGCACTTAATTAAAGTGGTACTTATAAGTACCGTCAGTATTTAAACGGATCAATCTATAATAATAGTTTCGCTGTCTGTGTATCTATCTATCTATCTATCTATCTGTGTATCTATGTATCTGACAAGAACGCTCTAGAGAAAACACAAGCAAATTAAAAACATGCATAGTAATTCGAAAAACGATGTATGACGTCGTCACCTTTAGCTTAGAGTAGACAATAATCTCAAGCCGGAGAGTGCACACAGTAATATGACGTCATTGATTCTAGAGTAAACATTGAATAAAAAGGCAATTTTGTCTAATCTAAATGGTTTGCGTGAAGAGTTTCTTGAATACAATTCTTCGGGTAGGGGCGAAGCCCCACCCCCGCGTAAGAACGTCTGAGCCCCCCTGCCCAACTCAAAAGAAATGTCTTCATCGATGCTCTATAATAAAATTACCGCCTAATTAATGTGTCTAATCTAAAAAGTGGTTTTCTTGCAATTTCTTTAATGCAATTCTTCGGGTAGTGGCTAAGCGCGACACCAGTGTTTCTTTCAGACTTTTTCCTCTCTTCCGGTAGGGGCGAAGCCCCGCCCAGATTCTTCCTTTAGTTTGTATGATCTACACATGCCACCCGTGTTTCTTTCAGACTTTTTACTCCCCGGAGAGGGGTGGGGGTACTTGAAATTTTCGGGGGCGGGGGTAGAATTTTCTGGGAGGGGGCGGACACTGGAAAAATTATATAATTATATTTCGTTGAATGGGACGGTAGACATGTTTTGGGGTGGGGGGGGGGCGGAGCCCCCTCCTCCCAAGTAGAGTTGCCTGAAAGAAACTCTAAATGCGACTTTTGTCATGAATGAGATTAGGTGCATGGTTTAGGGATATGCCTATGACTATATTTTGTATAAATTAAAGTACCGATTCTGGATAAAAATCCGTTTTCAATGTCATTTTTCGTTTCCGGTTAAATTGAATGAAGGTGGTGATTTTGGTTTTGGTTTTAGTTTAGAGAAAAGAGACAGCACTATCAACCTAGCGCCCGTTGTATCCTTCCTCAACGGGCCATTTATCTCGTTAATAATAATAGTTTCGCTGTCTGTGTATCTATCTATCTATCTATCTGTGTATCTATGTATCTGACAAGAACGCTCTAGAGAAAACACAAGCAATGTAAAAACATGCACAGTCAGACGGAAACGAAGTATGACGTCATAGAGTAGAAAATAATATCAAGCCGGAGAGTGCACACAGTAATATGACGTCATTGATTCTCGAGTAAACATTGAATAAAAAGGCAGTTTTGTCTAATCTAAGTGGTTTGCGTGAATAGTTTCTTTCATACAGTTCTTCAGGTAGGGGCGAAGCCCCACCCCCGCGTAAGAACCTCTGAGCCCCCCCCCCCCCCTCCTCCCCAACTCAAAAGAAATTTCTTCATCGATACTCTATAATAAAATTACCGCCTAATTAATGTGTCTAATCTAAAAAGTGGTTTTCTTGCAATTTCTTTAATGCAATTCTTCGCGTAGTGGCTAAGCGCGACACCAGTGTTTCTTTCAGACTTTTTCCTCCCCGGAGGGGGGAACTTTTTCTAATCTAAAAAGCGTTTAGCGTGTAGTTTTTTTTTTTTCATTCCTTCCGGTAGGGGCGAAGCCCCGCCCAGATTCTTCCTTTAGTTTGTACGATCTACAAATGCGACCAGTGTTTCTTTCAGACTTTTTCCTCCACGGAGAGGGGTAGGGGTACTTGAAATTTTCGGGGGCGGGGTAGAATTTTCTGGGAGGGAGCGGACACTGGAAAAAGTATATAATTATATTTCGTTGAATGGGACGGTAGACATGTTTTGGAGTGTGTGGGGGGGGGGGGGGGAGGGGGGCGAAGCCCCCTCCTCCCAAGTAGAGTTGCCTGAAAGAAACTCTTAATGCGACTTTTGTCATTGAGATTAGGTGCATGTTTTAGGGATATGCCTATGACTATATTTTGAATAAATTAAAGTACCGAGAAAACAGACAGCACTATCAACCTAGCGCCCGTTGTATCCTCCCTCAACGGGCCATTTTTCTCGTGTCAAATGTTTTCGCTGTTATGCCTATAAAAATGGATTCATTTCAATAAAAAGGTTAAATTATAGAATGTGGTTAAGACTCTCCCTGAGCGCGGACCTCCGGGGTAGCATAATTTGATATATGTTTGCCTTTGTGTTTGAGATTGAGTTTGCGTTTTGTTTTGAGTTTACATTTTTGAGTTTGTTTTGAGTTTTGTGGTTTTTTTTGGGGTTTGTACTTGTGTTTGCGCTTACAAACTGCATTTGCGTTTACGTGTGCGTTGTGTTTGCGTTGTGTTCGCGTTCTTTTGTTTGCGTTTGTTTGTGTTTTCTTTTGTGTTTGCGTTGTTTGCGATTTTGTTTGAGTTTGCGTTTTCTTTGAGTTTTTGTTTGCGTTTGTTTGTGTATTGCATTCTGCTTTCTTTTGTGTTAGCGTTTTCTTTGAGTTTACGTTTGCGTTTGTTTGTGTATTTTTCGTGCTTGTATTTGTGTTTGCGCTTGCGTTTGCTTGTTGCGTTTGGTTTTTTTTGTGTTTGTGTTTGCGTTTGAGTTGTGTTTTTGCGTTTTTGTTTGAGATTGTTTTTTCTTTAGTGTTTGTATTTGTGTTTGTGTTTGCTTTTGTGTTTGCATGTTGCGTTGTAATTTTGATTGCCTTTGTGTTTGTTTTTTTGTTTTGTTCTGCTCCCAAGTTGGTACATTAAAAAAAATTCACCGTGGCGAAGATCGTTTATCGGTTGTTAGAAGTGGAACTCATTCCACTTTCGGGTTTTCAAACTTATATAACACTGCCGGGGGTATTTTTAACTCGGGATATAGGCATGATTTTTAATCAATTTTTAAATACTTAACATTTTTAATGCGTGTGTTATAGTGCGGAACATTAGTACTTTATTAATTCATAAGCGTTTTTTGTTGTTGTTTTTTTTTGAGAAATCGGAAATAGCATTAAGTACTACTTACGGTAGGGGTCGAAAAGTCTCGAGTTCGAACCCTCGGGCAGATGAGGCTCGTTAGCTGGGGACAGCCACTCTTCTAGGAGAGACAACTCCAAAATTAAACAACTGCTGCCTTGTAGTTTGTTCTTGGTTGGATAAAGGCTATGGAAGCAAATCCAAAAAGAAAACACGTAACGCTTAATTGTGTTGGAGACGTGGTCGAGTCGGCAAAAAGCTCATGGTTGATAAATTCGAACAAAGTCTCATGTTCAAACGCACTGGCAGATAAATCTCGATCCCCTTCAACACAAATAATTAAGAACGAAGAAGAAGAAGACTACTTACGGTCACCAGAAATTATTGAAAACTTGACAGAAAACAGAGAATTTAATCTTTAACATAAAAGTGAAATTTCGTCTATCTATCAGAATCAGTACTCAAGTTAAAGGTTTTTGAAAAACCGAAAGTGAAATAAGTTCCACTTCTAACTACCGGAAATCGCTGAAAAAATAATACAAATATATACAAATTGTATATCATAATTATATATGACATTTCATCAACCTAACTATAACGTTACTCATGTTATCTTGTTTTCACACACAAACACACACACAGAGAGAGAGAGAGAGAGAGAGAGAGAGAGAGAGAGAGACTCAGGTAGGTATAAAATGAATTCGATTTATTGCTCGATTACACAACTTCCTCTAAAATATTTTCGTCAAGTATAGCTTGCCATGAGCTCCAGCCTTTATGGCAGCTTTACTTTTAATCTCTTCAAAACTTTTGCTATTTATAATTGCTGACATACCGGTTTACACATTCTGTCTTACAGACACCATGTAGGCTCTGCAGTTTCGTATGAAAATATAACAAACTACCATATTATTTGATTTCAGTTTGCGTTTCATAGTAACAGATTTTAATGGTGAAAAATTGGAAATTTTCCTAGAAATGTTATGAGGGAGTATGTCGTGTGAGGGCTGTTTATTCTATTTTTATTTTATATTTCTAGTGCATGTATTCGGATACTTGTTTCAGTTTTGTTTTTTCGATTTATTTTGTATTTTGTTCCGAAAGACATTTCTATTTCGCGTAGCACTCAAACTGAAATTGAAACTCCAGGAAATCTCTGTTTACGACACCAATCAATCGCGATATTAAAAGCTCTACGCGTAAATCGGGGCTGAGGAGTTCTGATTGGATAATGACAGTTTAGGACAACCAATCATAACGGTTGTTAGAAGCGCTAAAATATTCTAGGGACTGTTGAAGAAATATTCTTTCATTTACTCGGCGCTCATTTTAGCGAATACACTTTACGGTTCGTTGCATAAATTTTCTCCTTTAAGATGTAAATTATACAATATATATTGCAAAAAGTGTTCGTATTTTTTGGATACTAAAACAATTAAATAAATGTGTTTTATCAGAGTTTTATTTCGTACACAGGGATGTCGGTCCAGGTTGGAGCTATTGTGGCGATCGTTCTTCTCTTTGTTGGCATCATACTGCACATTGTAGGGCTGGCCACGCCCGAATGGATGTTGATAAAAAATAATGAACTTACTATTGGGCTTTGGCAGGCCTGCTCGCATGGCGTTTGTTTGACATTTGCAGATTTTCCTATCGCAGGTGTTGTGGCTTTTATTTTTTTTTTTCCTCGTCTTTAGAATTCCTTAGAGTCGTTGGGCGGGCTAATTAATTCCAAGCATATAAACAAAACTAAAAGTTCAAATACCAATCATGTTTTAATAGTTTTATAGAGGACGTGAAATTATTTCAGTATAGGTAAACTGATTGGTTGTGTAGAAATGTTTAAAGATTGATGAAGGATTCATATTTTAAAAACTTAACTAAGATGAATTAGATATTGCTGTCGACTTCTACTGTGTCTATGTATTATGAAATACAAAATTGAGGCAGAAGCTTAATACAACGAATAAATGCTTTTTTTTTCAAATTAAATTTTCCGACTTTTACCAGTTTTACTGTAATTATGACTTTAAGCTTAAAACTATAGCGTTGATGTAACTCCTATGCGGCTCTGTCATTTAACACACGATGTCAACAAAAAAAGATTATCGAAGACTTTCTCCAAACGTTTTTATTTGCATGATACACGACCGTTCTATAAAAAAGTATTAAAATGGATATTAAATCATAAATAAAGTTTTAGAACAACAAGGTTTTATATATGCACTAAAGTATATGTGACATTACCCTTCCCCAGATCAATTACCACCATGTCAATTAACACCCGGGTAGTTACCTCCCATATATATATATATATATATATATATATATATATATATATATATATATATATATATATATATATATATATATATATAAAAAAATATATATATATATATATATATATATATATATATATATATATATATATATATATATATAAAGTCAACTTGAACTGCTATAGGACTAGTAAGTTGGTCACCAAACAGTTCTATAGCTCATGCAGGTTTTATTGAGCCGTAGAACTGGTTTGTGACCTACTTACCAGCCCTATTGAAATTTCACCGCCTGAATGGATCGGAATCATTTTTGCCACACCGGTGCATAATAACACTGGGGAGGTGTTCATTTACTTTTTGGCTAAATTCAATGTTAATACAAATTGGTTTAAATTTTTCAAATATTTGTATAGTATAGGCCATAGAGGCGTCCTCATTTCCGCTTTTTTATTTTGCATTTACGTTCAGCATGAGTGTAGATGTGTATAGACTGTATTATCCTATATAGTATTCATTTTGAAATAAAAATGGGTTGAAAATATAAAACATTAGACATTTTTTTTTAAAAAGATGGGGAAGGCCCCAGTAAAGAAAACTATTTAAAGATTCGTTAGAAAACAATTATTTCTTTACAGCTATATTAAGATACATCCGAATATGCATTTCCACTAAAAAATGGTGGAAAAATCTTGGAAATTATGACAACGGCGGCCATCTTGAAAAATAACCCCATCGTAGGTTTTCCACCATTTATAAAATATTATATTTTATGCCCAATAAATAATCAATTCATAATCATCTCCCATATTTTGGGGTACTCAGCTACACATTTTAAGTGCATATCTTCAAACAAATTTTTTATGAACTTTCAAAATTTGTGTCCGTTCAAAATACTGAATTTTGAGGAATTTGGGGGCATTAAAACTAGTGTTTTAATGGACACTCAATTTGCAACTCCCTGAGTCGGAAAAACAGTTTTGCAATCTTTTCCGTATGTCTGTGTGTCTGTATGTGTGTGTGTGTCTATGTGTGTCTGTGAACACGATTACTAGAGTACCGTTACAGCTAGGTTAAAGACATTTCATATATAAGTATTAAATTAAATTTTTAGTTCCGTACCAAATTTTCACCTATTTCCGGTAACCGGAAGTGGAACTTACTCTACTTTCAATTTTTCAAAAGACTATAACTTAAGTACTGTTTCAGATAGATAAATGAAATTTTAGATGTAAGTAAACGATCTAATTTTCTGCCTTCTGTCAAATTGTGAGTAATTTCCGTTGACCGAAAGTAGTAATTTACGCTACTTCCGATTCCTCAAAAAAACACATGTAAATTTATAAAATACTTATAATATTACGCACTATCATACACAGATTGTTAGGCGTTCACTTGGTGCTCAATTCTTTTTCTACGAGATTCTATTCTATTTTAAAAAGTTTATGTGATTAAAAATTGATTAAAAATCATGCCTCTATCCCGAGGTGCCACTCTCCGTA